TGTACAGTCCATGTGCATGTGACAGTGATGATGCTGTATGAAGATCTGAGCACATAGCCAAGAACAATGCTTCCCGCTGTTAGGTGACACCTAGCCACTCTGTGCCTCAAGTTTCTTATTTGTAAATTCCAACTCATTATTGCTTTAGTGAGCATTTAATACGATAAATAATAATACCTGGTACTTCATAAGTACCAAAAAACTGTTAACCACCTGTTGCTTTCCCTTCATCTCGCTAATAGATAGCTAAGCATTTGGGTAGTCAGGGTTATATTTAAAAGGACACTGGTGTCAAATTGTAGAAGTCCTTATTTTCCAAGTTATAAATCAGAATCATCTCAAAAAAATTACATACATATATATTATTCAACCCAACTATATACACTATCATTTTGATCTATTCAATATAAAAATATCAATGACATATTTTGCATCATCTTTATCACTCTAAGTCTTTGAATTCCATGTTGTTTATACCTACCACACATCTCAGTTCATACTGGCTATAGTACAGGTGTTCAGTGCCCTTCTAAGACTCATGGCTCCTTTATCAGATCATCTATAGAGAATGGAGCCCCACTGGAGGATTTAATCAGCAGGATGGAATGCTTTGGAGAGATGCAGTTGTTAGTAGTGTTTGGAATAGATTACTGCAAAGAGCAGGCAGAAGCAGAAAGCTGCTACCAGAACCCAGCCTAGAGCCCTTCCGGGTCTAAACAGGATGATCTCAGGAGGAATAGTGAAGATGAAGGGAGAAATGCTATGGGTTCAGGGTTCATAGGACTTAACGGCTGATGTAATTGGGGTGGAGGGTAAAGGAAAGAAAGGGGTTGAAGATAGGACTGAGGCTCGATGCAAGACAATAAAATAATTGACTTATTTCTAAATAGAAAAGTTAAATGTTACCCACACCAGATATCTAAGGCTTCTAATTTAGCCTCTGTGGTTATATAAGCCAACTCTTGATTTCCTTTCATACACACTAAAAAGAAACTAAAATATCATATACTACTGTAGCTAAAAAATTAAAATGTTTTGACCTCCTTCTCTTTAAAAACTTGTGAGGGTCTGGGAGTATAGCATGGTACTGGAGTGCCAGCTCAGCACAACAAAGCCCTGACACAGCCTGCTAGCTCCATAAAGGTACAGGCCAAGTCTTTTTGCTCTAAATACGATCACAGTGGCTGTGTAGGAAATTGGTTTGAGTTTGTTGGATTGAATGGAATTACAGAACCAAATTCAACAGTTTTCTATTTTGGAGGTGTCATAAGTATCCAGCTTCAAAACTGTCTGAAATATATCATCTAAAGACCAAGTTGTGCCAGGCATGGTGGAGCATGCTTTTAATCCCAGCACTCAGGAGGCAGAGGCAGGTGGATCTCTGTGTGTGTTCCAGGCCATCTGGGGCTACAGGGAGATCCTGTCTCAAAAACGAAAAAAAAAAAAAAAAAAAAAAGAGGGAGAGAGAGAGAGAGAGAGAGAGAGAGAGAGAGAGAGAGAGATATGAAAAGGGAGAGAGAGAGAAAAGAAAAAAAAGAATCCCAAGTTATCAGGCTGGATCCAGTTCCAGGGGGATCCAACACCCTCTTCTGACCTCTGCAGGCTTGAATGACATGGGTGCACTTAGATACATGCAGGCAATATACTCTATACACATAAAAAATAGTAAAATAAAAATAAAAAAATATTTTAAAAGGCCAAGTTATAGTTCTGTCTCAAATTCACCCTTAGAAAAATCATAGTTTTTTATGTGTCTTCAATACAGCATGTTCACATAAACTTGACTTTCTCAATGAATTTTAACACCTCTGTAGAATGTCATGAAAGAGTAAATAAACAAAATCTACTTTGCTTTTCCTTTAACACATATTTTAAGAATGGATGCAACTGGGGGGGGGGATATGGTGTATGTGTGCACATGTATGTGCCCATGTGTGCAGATGTAGGGACTAGAGGAGGATGTCAGGTGGCCCCCTCTAGTGCTTTCTACCTTACTCCCTTGAGACAAGAGTATCTAACTGAACCTGGAACTCACTGGGTTGGGGCTAAGCTGGCAGCCAGAAAGTTTCAGCCATCTTCCTGCTCCAGCCCCCATGCTCTGGGGTTACAGGCATGCGTGACCATGACTGGCTTTTTAGATGACCCAGACTTACTGAGACATCTCATGGGTAGAAATTCTGAAATCTCCAGACATGATTGTAGGAGTTACCTCAATATTGCCCCATAAATATAATCAACCTCACTTTCCAAAGCATTAATTAAATGATATGGAAAGCTGCATATAGTTAGACATAAATATAAGTGGGATGAAACACTAATGCTATTGTAGGTCTGAGTTGTATGAAGCACAACAGGCAATGATCTTCTTACTACTTTCTTTCCAATGAAAAGACTCTGGCAGGGAAAGAAGAAAACATTTGGAAGCTAGGGAGATGCCACAGTGGGTAAAAGTGCTTGCAAAAGCTAGAGGACCTGAGTTCAGATCCCCAGCATCCATATAAAAGGCTGGGCATGGTCATGTGTTCCTGCATCCCCAGCACTGGAGGATAAAGTTGGGTGGACCCTGGGGGCTCACTAGCCAGCCAGCTTAGCTGAAACGTCAATTTTCAGGTTCAGTAAAGTAGAGAGCAATAGAGGACCATGTACGTCCTCCTTTGACTTCTGCATCATGTATGCACTACAACATTTATACCTGCATGTGTGTGTGTGTGTGTGTGAGAGAGAGAGAGAGAGAGAGAGAGAGAGAAAGAGAGAGAGAGAGAATGAAAATGAGAATGAGAGACAAGCAAACTGAAAACCACTGTATTCCCAAATTCTAGAGATTGATTCTGGTATAAAGTGAGTAGATGAAAGCATGGCTGCTGGTGGGAAACAGCTCCATCAGTAAGGGGCTTACCTTGCAAACACAAGGTCCTGAGTTGAATTCCTAGAACCTCATTTTAAAAAGTGAGGCATGGTCCACTTGTACCTAAGGGAGACAGCCAGCTATTGTTCTAAAATGGTGGCCAAATTTGTTTTCTCCCCCTATCTAGAAGCCTTTGAGAGGGAACTGACACTGATTCTAACCACTCCATCAGCAAATCCTGACTCCATCACTCTAGAGTCCAGCCTTGGAAGACAAAAGAAAAATGAGGAGGAACCCAAATAGAGGGATGCTTTCGGAAGTCCTCATCAAGAAATTCCAATGAACTCTCATATGAGCATTTGAAAATTTCCCTGTTCTGACTTTTTTCTGATTCTCTATCTAGAATTTGTAATGCTAACTACTCTTGCCTTTACTTCTTCACATCCCCTATTCACAAGTAAAGGACTTTCTTTTCTCTCTACAGACAAGAGTTATTCAATCTGGGAATCCTTTAGATAGGCCCACTGAAGGGGTACCCCAATTGCCTCACCCTGTGTCCTTGTTCAGCATGGAAGAAGAAGCCAGAGTGGTCTGCATCCCAATTCCCTATCCACAAGCTGGGTAACCTCTTCAGAGGATGGTGTGATAAGAATAGGAGGTAGGAATTTGATGGTAGGAATCCAAAGAAAGTAGCCAGCTTCTTGGCTAAAAGTCAAAATGTCCTTGGGCCTCTTAGCCACATACTCCATTCCAAAGGCCAAAAATGTCGAAAGTATTTTGGAGCTCTTGTCTAATCCTTAAAAGATTTTAGGGCTACCTCTTCAGAGGGGGGAAAGTTAGAGTAGCAAAAAGCCCCATAAAAAAAAAAGAACATGAAGTTATCAGAAAAAAGTGATGGGGAGATATAGGAGATGTTGGAGGGGAGTGTGCATGGATTTGATTAAAACACCTTATATGCTTATATCCCTGCATGAAATTCTCAATAAATTATTTTAAAAACACACACACATATATGTTTTCTAAGAACAAAAGGGTGAATTTTGAGGCTGGAGAGATGGCTTCGTAGTTAAGAACACTGGTTATTCTTGCAGAAGACCCAGGTTCGAATCCCAGCACCCACATGGCAGCTAACAACTGTCCATGAACACCAATCCCAGGGGATCCAACTGCCCCTTCTAATCTCCGCAAGCATAGCACGACATGGGTGCACTTACCTACATGCAGGCAATACACTCATACACATAAAATTTAAAAAACAAAAGTTTTAAAAAAGTTTTAAAAAAAGGGGTGACTTTCAAACTTTAAGTAGTCAAATAGTAAAAAATTGATATCATTTTGAAACTTCTGTGGATATTATAGAACAAGCTATTATGTTGGTGTATTTGGATAAAAACTACAAATAGAAATATAAAGAAATGGTATGGTGGTACATGCCTTTAATCCCAGCACTCAGGAAGCAGAGGCAGGTGTAGCTCTATGAATTTGAGGCCAGCCTGGTCTACAGTATAAGTTCTAGGTCAGCCAGGTACATAGTGAGGCCCTGTCTCAAAAATTCAAGTAAAATAAATAAAGAAAAACGAAGGGGTCAGCAACATGACTCAGTCTGTAGAGGCACTTGCTGCGAAACCTAATGACCGGAGTTCAATCACAAGAACCCACACGGTGGAAGGAGCGAGCCAACTCCTCCAAGTTGAACTCTGACCTCCACACATGCATGGTGGTGTGCAACCATGTGTGCACATAAGCACACACATACTCACAATAAGTAAATGTACAAAAAATAAAAATACAAAGGAAAAAATGAATAAAAAGTGAGGCAGGGTTGTATGTACTGGCATGCTGGGAAGTGGGAACAGGTAGATCCAAGCTCCATGCCAGTGAGAATCCTTGTCTCAAAGTAAAGGTGAACTACTCCTGAGGAATAATGAGGTTGCCTTCTAGCCTTCACATGCATGTGCATACAACATACATGAGCACCTGGATACACATGCATCCTTGAACATGCATGCATATGCACACACATATACATATGCAAGCACAGCTGGATGGAACCTGGTCTTTTCAATCACTAAGTCTAACATATTTATAGGAAAGGAGAGTGAGCATCCTCTATCCCCACCTCAATGAGAAAGTCTCATAGGCTTTACATCCTTACCTCAGACAGGAGGTGCTGGATCACAACAGTTAGTGCCTCGAACTTGGTATTACCACAGGAAAGAAGCTGCTTGAGCTGAAGGATAAATCCACTTTGGTTTTCACATTTTGTTTTGTATTGAGTTAACTCGAGTGTCTTTTCAGAGGATAGCACATCTGGAGATGTTTGAGTCTGGATGCAAAGGCTTCTGGGATTCTTTGGCCTGCTTTTTTCGACTGCAAAAGGAATTAATAAAAGCACAGATATGTGAGGTTAATTTTTATAATCGCCAACATCTGGGTTTCAAAAAAAAATAAGCCACATAAATGCACTGAAGCCATGTTTACATTAGAGAATGCATATGGTGAGGAACTGGGACTAATTAAGGATCAGGATGGTTAAAATTCATAAACACAGACAACGGATTTAGTTCTGACTCTAAAGAGCAGAGAATTGTGCACACAAAACAGATTTAGCAACCCAGAAAAATGAAAACTAGGTGTAAATAGTGATGATTTCATGGCCTTTATTTTTAAATTTATTATTCTGTGTGTTAAGTATGTATCTGTGCGTGCAGGTGCTCACATACCACAGTGCTTGTGGAGGTCAGAGGACAACTTTCCAGAGCTGGTTGTCTCTTTCCACTGTGGCTACCAGGGAAAAACTCAGGTCATCAGGCTTCCAGGGCAAAGCAATTTACCTGCTAAGCCAACCTCTCTCCAGCCCAATTTGATGGCTTTTAATTTTCCAGTTAAATTGGCAAAGAAATCTGATGCAGAAAAGACCCATTCTGCATCTATTGAGATGATCACATGATTTCTGTCTTTGAGTCCATTTATGTGATGAATTACTTTTATTGATTTATGCATGTTGAACCATCCCTGCATCTCTGAAATGAAGCCAACTCGATCATGGTGAATGATCATTTTTGATAAGGTCTTGAATTATGCTTGCCAATATTTTATTGAGAATTTTTGCATCTATGTTCATCAGAGAGATGGGGTGTAACTCTTTCTTATTGTTTTCGTATCTTTATCTGGTTTGGGTATTAGAGTAACAATGCCGTCATAAAAAGATTTTGCAAGCACTCCCTCTTTTTCTGTTTTATGGAATAATTTGAGGAATACTGGGGCTAGTTCTTTGAAAGTCTGGTAGAATGGAGCTTTAAGCTTGGATTGCAGCACATGCCTGGGAAGGTAGTGCCCCCCTCCCCACAGTGGGAACTTACTACCATTGTTTAATTAAAGTGAAATAGCATCAAACTGCCATCTAAGTATTTGTTTAAACCTATAGACAAAAGCTACTCTCAGTCTTAATGAGAGAAGTCTCTCTTTGTAGTGAACTGCATGGGGGTGAATTCAGACTCATGGCCGCCCAAGATGCCGAGAAGTGACAGCTGAGGGCTTAGCCCCCAAACACCCCTTCTAAGGGTGTACCACCCCTTTTAAGGCTCAGGGAACACTGTGGAAGAGGGGCTGAAGTATGTAAGAGTTGAAAGACAGGATGAAGGGCTGCAAAAATGCCATTCCCCCAAACTCATAACCACTGTAACCTCAGACCAACTGCAGTTGTCTGCACTGGTACTGCACAAGACCAAGCTCAATCAACAATCACTTATGGAAGGGGGAAGGGCTCATTGAACCCTACCCATTACTGCTGAACTACTGGATATTGACAGGTTCTAGGAGAGGGGGATCCACCATCTTCAGTTGTATATCCACTGCTGAATCAGTCCACTAGGTTCCAACAGATAGCTCCAAACACATTCTCACACAGACAAGCCCTGGTTAAATAAACAATTACAAAGCAAAAGGAACAGCCAGGCATGGTGACACACACCTTTAATTCCCAGCACTCAGGAACAGAGGTGGGGGATCTTTGTGAGTTCAAGGCCAATCTGGTCTACGTAGCAAGTTCAGGCCAGCTGGGGCTATAGGGAGATCCTGTCTCAAAAAGACAAAAACAAACAAAGAAATAGGCAAAAAAACCCAAGAAACAAAACAATGAACACAAGGATTTGTAGGCCAACATAGGGGTAGACAGGTGGGGTAGGGAGACGGGAGCAGATGGTGGATGAGGATGGTCAGTATGCATTATGTACATGGGCGAAATTGTCAAAGAACAAATTTAATATAATAAATAAAAATTATTGAAGCCAGCTGATGAGTATCTTTCAAATAGTGAGATTAATCATTAATAACATCCCTAAACACTGAGAAAGCTATAGCCTTATAAAAATATCCTTTAATGGAATTATTTTAACATATGCTGAAGGAATTCACTTCTAGAAGATCTCTAATGTGAACACTTGAGAGGCACATCTTGGATTATGCAACTGTCAGAAAATCACGGAGTTTGTAGAAGGTGTAATTATATATGAATAAATACAAATACTGAGAGACTGAAAAAATAAGAGTGTTGTGGTGTTTTATAACTTAGGCTAAATAAAGTAAAAGACTTTCACAATGAGTAGAGCTAATATATAGTATTCAACTGTTTCTGCATTTTGGAGAAAGAGCTAAGTACTGAAACTAGATACTAGCATGTTTCAAATCATGGGTGTAACTTTAAATTCCTACTTAAATTTTTAAATTTATTTTATTTTAATTTTATGTGTATGAGAACTTTGCCTGCATATACGTGCACCATGTGTATGCAGTGCCCACAGAGGCCAGAAGAGGGTGTCAGATCCTCTGGTTGTTAGCTGCTAAGAACCAAACTTGGGTCTAATGCAAGAGCAATCAGTGCTCTTAACCACTGAGCCACCTCTCCAGCCTCCCCCCTTTCTGTTTTTGAACAAAAAGTAAAATATAATTAAAAAATAAAGAAAAAGATTTTAAATTAGATGGTGAGACAACTACTCTAAGATATGAATCAAAGGAAAACAAATTGAGTTAAAATATTTTTCTTTCCTCCATTTTCCTTTCTTAAAAAGTTCCTTATTTTTTAATTAGCATGCAAAGTAACAGGTTTCATCATGATATTTTCACAGATAATTTAAATTTTTTATTTTTATAAATTTTTGTTGATTACTCCCATCTCTCCATCCTAACATCCTTCTCTGTGAGAATGACTTTTTCTGGGACTCTTTGTAATAAGCCTTTACAAACTTATATTTTACAGAACCTCATACACTAAATTAATAATATGTTCTGAGAACATTCAGAATTACAGACTCCTAAGAAAACAAACTAATCAGTGCTACATGATTTGGAATCCTCATGTAATTAACTCTTATGAGCTAAGCTGAACTCATAGCTATAGTCTTATACCATATTACTTGTAACTCAGTGACACCCTGACTCTGAACTATGCATGTGTGCATGAGATGTGATAGACATAATGCTGAAAACAACGACACTGTGAACATCTCCCCCACAAACGTTACAAGCAACATGGGGCATAGGTTGATGACGTGCTGTGGTTGTGTGTGCTATTCTGAGTAAGCAGGGTCAGAAAAACAACTTCTTCCTTTGTAACTGTTACCAAAGATTGTTCGTGACTTTCTTGACATTTGTGGTTGTGTGTGCTATTCTGAGTAAGCAGGGTCAGAAAAACTTCTTCCTTTGTAACTGTTACCAAAGATTGTTCGTGACTTTCTTGACATGCTGCTCAATAAATATGGGAGGAGCCTTTTGTTAGAGAATTGCAGAGAATGGAGTGAAATAGAGTCCAAAGTAGAATGGGACGCATGTAACACAGTTCTGAGAGAACAGTTCTGAATGGAATCACAGCAAGATTCAGGCCCAGTCTTGGTCAAACTATGCCAAGAGTGAAGTTTCTCATTCATACGGCACTGCCATGCACCCCCTTCCCCTCACTGGTGTCCTCTTTCCGCTTTCAAGTCATGGGCCTCCTACACATTTTCTACAGGCCTTAAGTTCCCTGCTAGTCACTGCCGGGATCGTACAGCAGATGTGTCCCTCCCAAATCCTTAATAAACCAGCCCATACACTGAAGATCTTACATTTGCTCCTTTAAGGTCACTATTGAGAGGACCATGTGCTTGAATGTGTTGTTTCATTTGTTATTAAATGCAAACTTTGTCCTCCAAGTAGTAACAGTGAGTGAAAGATTTTTTTTTTCAAGTGCATGATTAATATACCAAATCCATCTAAGATGCCTCATGACATCGTTCTTCATTTCCCATGCCTGGGGCTCCAGGAATAACCTGTTTGATATGAAAAACTCATTCAGTTTTGGAAGTATTCCAAATGTCAAATGGCTTTGGAAAAACAGGAAACAAACAGGCCAGATAATCAAAACAAACCTAAATATGAAAAAAGGCTCAAGAAACAAAATAAAATAAAATAAGTTTCCGTATTCTGACAAACACTCCCTATGGTGCCATCCTATTCTGTAGGAACAAATCTATACATCCGATAGAGGTTTAATATCTAGAATATACAAAGAACTCAAAAAGCAAAGAATCAAGAAAACAAATGACCCAATTTTAAAAACGGGCAACAGATCTGACAGCATTTTCAAAAGAAGGAAAAAAAATGGCTAAGAAATATTTAAGAGTGTTCAATATCCTTAGCCATTAGGGAAATGCAAATTGAAACTAAGATTTTTATATAACATTGGTCAGAATGTTTAAGATCAAGAAAACAACTGACAACAAATGCTGGTGAGGGTGCAGGGGTTGGGGTGGGTGGGTAAGTTGGATTTATTTACTATTGGTGGGATTGCAAACTGGTGCAACCACTATGGAAATCAGCATGCAGAATTCTCAGGAAGCCAAAAGCAGATCTATCATATGACCCAGCTGTCTCACTATGACCCAGCTGTCGTCTCACTCTTTGGCATACATACAACCAAAGGACTCAGTGTCCCACTACAGAGCCACTTGTTCAGCCATGTTCATTGCCTCTCTTTTCACAGTAGCTAGGAAATGGAAACAACCTAAATGTCCCTCAACTGAAGAACGGATAATGAAAATGTGGTAAATTTACACAATGGAGTTCCATTCAATTGTGAAAGAAAAATGAAATCACTAAATTTGCAGGTAAATGGATGGAACTGGAAAACATTATACTGAAGTAAGGCAGACCCAGAAAGGGTCCTCTTATATGAGGATCCTAGCGCTGAATCTTTAGATGTGAGTATACAACCTGAAGTAACCACAGAAGACAGGGAAGTAGAAAGGGTCATGGGGGGAGTAGGTAGAAGGGGCTCTAGAGAAGGGGACAGGACATAGGGGATATCCAGGGAAAATGCAAAAACTGGGGAGGGC